GCAGTAGTAGTAGTAGTGGTAGTAGTGGTAGTAGCAGTAGCAGTAGTAGTCGTAGTTGTAGTTGTCGTGGTAGTAGTAGTAGTAGTAGTAGTAGTAGTAGTAGTAGTAGTAGAAGTAGTAGTAGTAGTAGCAGTAGCAGTAGTAGTCGTAGTAGTAGTAATAGTGGTAGTGGTAGCAGCAGTCGTAGTAGTAGTAGTAGTAGTAGTAGTAGTAGTAGTAGTAGTAGTAGTAGTAGTAGTAGTAGTAGTAGTAGTAGTAGTAGTAGTAGTAGTCGTTAGTAGTAGTAGTAGTAGTAGTAGTAGTAGTAGTAGTAGTAGTAGTAGTAGTAATCGTAGTAGTAGTAACAGTAGTAGTAGCAGTGTAGTAGTTAAGTAGTAGTCGAGTAGTCGTAGTAGTTCGTCGTCGTAGTAGTGTAGTAGTTTAGCAGTTTTCGTGTCAGGGCAGTTGTAGTGGCCAGTGGTAGTAGTAGTAGTGTAGTAGTAGTTAGTAGTAGTAAGTAGGAATAGGAGTAGGAGTCGGAAAGGAGTAGGCGTAGGAGTAGTAGTAGTAGTAGTTAGTAGTAGTAGAGAGTATTAGTAGTAGCGTAGTAGTAGAAAATAGTAGGAACAGTAGTGGTGGTTTATTAGTAGTAGTAGTAGTAGTGTGGTGGTGGTGTGGTGGTGGTGGTGGGGGTGTTGTAGTAGTAGGTGTGGTGGTGGTCGGAGTAGTAGTAGTAGTAGTTAGTGGTAGTAGTAGTAGTGTTAGTAGTTAGGAGTAGCAGTAGTAGTAGTGGTAGTGAGAAAAGTAGTAGTAGATAGAAGTAGTAGTAGTTAGTTTAGTCGTTCGTCGCAGTACTAGTGGCAGCAGTAGTAGTAGTAGTAGTAGTAGTAGTAGTAGTAGTAGTAGTAGTAGTAGGAGTAGGAGTAGGATTAGGAGTAGGAGTAGTAGTAGTAGTAGTAGTAGTAGTAGTAGTAGTAGTCGTAGTAGTAGTAGTAGTAGTCGTAGTAGTAGTAGTAGTATTAGTAGTAGTAGTATTCGTCGTAGTAGTCGTAGTAGTCGTAGTCGTAGTCGTAGTCGTAGTCGTAGTCGTAGTCGTAGTCGTAGTCGTAGTGGTAGTGGTAGTGGTAGTGGTAGTAGTGGTGGTATTGGTAGTACTAGTAGTAGTAGTAGTAGTAGTAGTAGTAGTAGTAGTAGTAGTCGTAGCGGTAGTAGTAGTAGTAGTAGTAGTAGCAGTAGTAGTAGTAGTAGTAGTAGTAGTAGTTATAGTAGTAGTGGTAGTAGTAGCAGTAGTAGTAGTAGTAGTAGTGGTACTAGTGGCAGTAGCAGTAGCAGTAGTAGTCGTAGTTGTAGTAGTCGTGGTAGTAGTAGTAGTAGTAGTAGTAGTAGTAGTAGTAGTAGCAGTAGTAGTAGTAGTAGTAGTAGTAGTAGTAGTAGTAGTAGTAGTAGTAGTAGTAGTAGTAGTAGTAGTAGTAGTAGTAGTAGTAGTAGTAGTAGTAGTAGTAGTAGTAGTAGTAGTAGTAGTAGTAGTAGTAGTAGTAGTAGTAGTAGTAGTAGTAGTAGTAGTAGTAGTAGTAGTAGTAGTAGTAGTAGTAGTAGTAGTAGTAGTAGTAGTAGTAGTAGTAGTAGTAGTAGTAGTAGTAGTAGTAGTAGTAGTAGTAGTAGTAGTAGTAGTAGTAGTATAGTAGTAGTAGTAGTAGTACTGGCGCACCTGGCGCACCTGGCGCACCTCGCATACCTGGCGTGCCTGGCGCACCTGGCGTGCCTGGTGCACCTGGCGCGCTGGGCGCAGCTGGCGCACACCTGGCGCACCTGGCGCACCTGGCACACCTGGCGCACCCTGCTCACCTGGCGCACCTGGCGCCGCTGGCTCGCCTGGGGCGCTTGGCGAGCCTGGCGCACCTGGCGCGCCTGGCGCACCTGGGGCACCTGGCGCACCTGGCGCACCTGGCTCACCTTTCGCACCTGGCGTACCTGACGAAACATATACGAAACATGTACGAAACAGGTACGACACATATACGAACATATACGGAACAATACTGAACATATACGAAGCAAATACGAAACACATGCTGCACACCATATACGAACATATACGGAACATATACGAAACATTTACGGAACATATGCGAAACACATACGAAACTTATACGGACCATATACGAAACGAAACATATACGAAACATACTCGGAACATGTACGGACCATATACGAAACATAGACTAACCATATACGAACCATATACGAAACATATACGCAACGCTTACGAAACGCATTCGAAGCGTATACCACACGTATACGAAACATATACGTCACATATACGAAACTATACGACACACATAGGACACATATTGGAACCATTTACGAAACATATACGAAACATACACGAAACCTATACGAATCATTTACGGCACACATACGGAACAAATACGAAACATAGATGCACCATATACGAACCTTATACGAAACATACACGAAACAAATACGAAACATATACGAACCATATACGAAGCATATACGA